TTTTTTGTTTGGTGCGGGAGGAGAAAATGCATTTAAGCACCTTACCCGGGCCGGCCCGGGCGTGTGTGGGACTCCACCCAGCCTAAACAAACGGCTGGGCAATACCCACTAAAAACTCCCCCCGGGGAATTAAATAAAGTTGCTCTTCGGCACAACTATAAGGCCCATATCTTCTTTTTGTCCATGATCTTGGTGATTATTCTTAGTATTTTAAAATATATCATTAATCATTCTTTCATTTAAGCAAAACACATCTATCTTACAATTTGTATCGTCAAATATATAGCTTGACAAAGCGCGTTCAAATTTGTTTCTGTATTATCAAATATTACATCTTTCTTTCCTTCGACTTGTTCCGCGTTGCTCTCTTCGTCCGAATTCTCATCTTCTCTATTCTCATCATTGTCTTCTGAATCACTAATATACGAATCAAGAATCTCTTTACATAATTGCTTATACTTCTCCTCACGAGCAAGATACGTTGCTTACGAACTTGAATACATTTGATCCTTAAATCCATCCTTTCTGATTTGAAACATAACTCCTATATATCCTATATATCATATATTAACATAACTCCTATATATCATATATTGAACTCGCTTATCCAATTGTCCTTCATGCAGTAGTCCTTCGTTCAACGGAATCATCCGTTGATGTTTCCAATAACAGAGTCAAAATTTCTAAAATGATAATTTTAGGCTTTACACTATAAGGCTATAAATGACTTTCGTGGATATTTACTCCTTGTGTCGACGTTGTTGGTGCCGGACTAAGACTAATAGGTTCTGACAAACTCGTGAACCCTCCACTGCCTTTATCGAGAATATTAGTATCGTCCTTGGTAATAGCGGCCGGCTCTCCTGCAGGCTGCAAACGAACCTGTTGCGCTTCGGCGCAACTATCTGGCTCATATCTTCTCTTTCTCCATGATGTTTGTGATTTCTGTTTGAGTTGAAGATTTTGCGTTTGTTGCTCAGTGGTCTGTTGTTGATGTTGCCATTGCATAGATGTTTGCTGAGGTACATGACTTGAGGTACTATCCTGTTGCTGTTGTTGTAGTTGTTGTGGTAATGACATAGGGCTGTACTCTCCGCACATACTCTCCGCCATACAAACATCGTAGCCCCCCTTAGGATTAGCAGTGTGATCACCTTTTGCCGTCATGGAGTTATCCTATAATACATTAGATTACGTATTAATGAAAGTTATATACAAAATATTGATACTTCATCAATGTTGTATAAAAATTCATAAAGTTTTTGTGTGTATATCAAAGAATTTTATCGAGAATGCATATTTGTAGAATAAACTCGTAAATTACTTGTGGATTTGTTTGTTTGGCATCGGCCGGTGATGATCCGTCATTCAAATCAAAGCCAAGTTTCTCCATGGGATGCGGATGACCATCTTTATCTTTACAACTCACACATAAATCGAAATTCTGTAATTAAATAAAGTTATAGTAAAATAGAGATATAGTAAGCATATGAAAGTTTAAATAAAAGTGTCTATGTGTAAAGCCCACTTTACACGATCTATAATTTGCAACAGAATTCAAGACAGAATTCTATTTATAATTTTTATGCGTTGTGTAATACAGAAAATATGTGAACAATCAGAATTATAACTATCATGCTTTATTTTTATAAATCGGAAAGACGCATGAAATATGCGCAATGTACCCATGATTGGTGAATTGTAAATGACATAAACTACAAGTTAACATACTCTCGTATCTGCTTAATAATCTAAAGAAAGAAAAGATAAAAATATGACAACAAAAAGTCACATAGCAAAAAATGATAAAAGTAGTTAATATGTATAAGAAATGTTCGCATATTGTGGTGGTGTGTTGATTGTGTTGTTGTGTTGTTGTTTTTTGTAGATTTTAACACAATTAAAATTGTAATTCGCGGTTATTTTTCTTAAACGTTTGGTATGATAATAAACTATTTAATTTTAAATAACTATTCAGTTTTTTGTACAAAAATTTGCAATTATAAAACAAAAAGTAAATTTTGTACACATATAAATTTTCACATGAATACACACACATACATATTTTCTTAAGTATTTTCTTAAATTTTATTTCCAACAACTGTGATAGTAATTTATTTATTTCATCATGCTATATGTTTTATACTTTTATTATATTTATATGTATTTCTTAATAACTATGTCGTATTTTTTAATAACCCAACCATATGTCAAAGAAAGAAACAATCGAATATTCTATACATAATTTTAAATCAAATTATGGTTCGTGTAATACAAAAATTTTTTCTTATCTATAATTATATTCATAATTTGATATATAAAATTATAAATAGAATTCTGTCTTGAATTCTGTTGCAAATTATAGATCGTGTAAAGTGGGCTTAAGAGAATATTTTTATCCAAAATATATTAAATCTACTACGTACGTCACAAACTGTACAATGGTATCTGGTCTCCACATGATTCTTGCAATTATTACAAGTGTAAACGAACTTGTCTTGGCCTTGATTATGTAACTCATATAACATGGACATCGAACTGAACTTTGCTCTTCTCAGCGATGAAAATTCGTAATGCCTCTCTCTCGCCATCGTCAAAAATGCATCACGACCGTCCATCAAATCGCAGTTGATAACGGGATCGGGATCTTGGATCGGCTAAAGATATTTACGTAAAAGATTAATAATTACATGTAATAAACTTTTGAATCATAAAATATAATAGACAAACTTACTGATAAACTAGCCGCACTTTGAGCACTATGCAACCTTATTACAAAGAATGCTTTCTTGTGTTTTTTTATAGTTGCAAAGATTTTTGCGGAAAGAAGATCATTGCCGGTCTGAGGAGTACTCGATTTCCTACTATTTTTCCTTTGATTCGCTTTGGACTTGTTGGATTTCTTCGCCTTCTTTTGGCTCTTCTATATATAAAAAGAGAATAATAGTTATTGTATGTTAATAAATAAAAAAAATAAATAGAGGAAAATTTATCTTCCACAACTTACCGCGTTTGCCGCCGCAGCAGCCACTTCGGCCTGTTTACGCTTTTTTTCCTCTTCCTGATCTAATTCTTTAATACTTTCTTCCAGCACATTCGGCCAAAAGTCACCTTCAAAGTATGGCAAATCCGCCGCGGACGAAAGTCTGTCTTCCATAACTTGTTCCAAAATGTCCTGCACACAAAAGTTTTATTTGTATATCTTTCTTTCAACGCGCGTAAATAATAAAAAATATTTGGCAGAAAATATGTCGTCTGCAAATCCTATGTCCATTGTTTTTAATAACAAGAACATTAGCTTATACAGCAGACATTTATTTAAGTCTCATTTGACTCCAATATGATACTGCAACACTTATTGGAAACACTGGAGACTAGATATTAAAAAATAAAACAAAAAATAAAACGCGTTTTTTAACCGACCTTATAGTCAAGTACGATTCTCTCGACCATTCCTTTGTCCAACATTTTCTTATACCACTCTTGTAATCTTTTAGGCTTTGGTATTGTCTGTTCTGCAGGATGGCAGTGAAAGATGTAATCATCCAC